ACCTAGCCATCATTCTAAACTAGCTCTGTAATTAATCATAACAGGACGTGTATGAAATCAGGTGGTGTGTCTTCATTTTTTTTAGTTGGACGGTTATGTTTTTTACGTGCATGGGTGTATGCTTTGTATGCGTATTTATGCGCCTTGTTGCAACCACCTTGTTGTTCCACTTCTGGAAGAGATTGCTGGCTTCAGAACATTTTCAGTCATCATTTTAAGAGAACCTGGTTTGCGTGGTTTTATATGTTTTTAATCAAGAATAAAAATACACAGGCGTGCTGTTTTTTATCGTTCCTACGATGGGAGTTATAAAAACATCGATAATGTACGGACATTTGGGTTTTATGTGGTAGTCATTATGGCATACTTATACGCATCGCTTTGACCACTGTCACTGATACTTTCCCGATGTGGTATACTTTTAAGAACACGGTGCCGGGGGACCAATCGCCCTTTCGCGAAAGTTACGACGAGAACGCGATTCGTGAAAAATTAGCCTCATCATGGACCTATTGAAAAAAATATTTCAAAAAGACCGTAACTCCTCCCTTCTTGGTGGTGTGCCGACAAGCATTCTGATACAAATGCTGTCAATGAGAAAACTTCCGCGACACGACTCTACACAACAAATGGAAGCAATTATAATGAGTAATAAAACATAAAATAGGTAAAATAAATCATTAAGCGTCTACGCGACAAAGCTTGTAACGCTGAAACCTTTATGCGACAGAACTGCTAACGCAAAGACTTATCACGACAGTTCCATTCCATTCCATTCCATTTCCCATCACCGAAAGTCTCACACACCAGCGTTATCAAATGAAATAGAATTTGGTACCAAGTCTGAAATGCACGAAAACCGGCATAAGCTGGAGCAAAGCCCATAACAGTTTCTTCACTTCAATCAAAACATCCGGAAGGTTTCATCAAATGAACTACGAAAAGTTTTGGGTCCTAATTTTTTCATCGTTATGTGTTGAGTTCTTAGCTGAGTTAACGACCTTTCATACAGCAGGAGATGCAAGGTAAAGGACGGTGTAGAATTAAATAATGATTGCCTCGACGGTACTCAATATTTCGAGCTGTGCTCACCCTCACGAGCGATAAGGGTCAGAGAGCCTAACGGAAATATCACACTTGTACAAGAAGGCACGTGAATCCAAGAAGCTGCTTCCAATCTGTGCTGGCAGTGCCAGTGGCTCATAATACATTTAGGTGCAGATCCATGCCAAGAGCGACACAAACCCGAAATCGAAATCACGTGTCGGAGAAAACCACTGCAGTCTCGGCGGAGATGCGGACAGAAGATCTGCAGACGATCAGGATCTCCAACCAGAGAGAGCCGACCTCCGGCCCAGAATAGCAATCACGGGTCGGAGAAAATGACTGCAGGCTCAGAGGAAGGTGTATTCAGGAGGTAACTGCGGGCTCTCATACTGTACAGACCGGTACCTCCTGGCACATTTAAAGTCGTTGACTCCGTATCGATCCAGGGTTTCGTCAAGCGGGAGGGTGATGGGGGGGGGGGGGAGGGGGAAGGCAACATTGGGAGCCCCCTGGAGTTTGGGCTACTTCCAAAAAAGAAGAGCTCGTATTCCAATTAATGGATTTTAATATCTTTGCATATACTATTTGTCATACGGAGAACCATCATTCTATACGCAGTACTTGAACACCAGGCACATTATGTATGTACATATATGGAGCGCGTTCTTTCTCTCCACGTCATGGTGTATCCTGATATTTTTAGGCTAAGTATTTCCGAGCGTACATGGCAGTTAGCTAAATTTGGCTGCTAAATACCATCACAATGTCGAAATTGTCATCCAAGTCGACACTTGATTCCAATGTTATTTACGGCCTGCCAACTCCCGGTGGCTAGCCGGCTAGTTGATGCGATCAGCTGATGGCTGATGACTGATGCAGTTTGAGCTTTGACTGGAATGAAGGAGCTTAAAATATCGTAGCATTTAGAATGCGTTAAGAGCGTGAAGCACGAGTACAATAAGTGTCACAAATTCAATAGCCAACGAGAATGACGTATGCGACGTCGGCGGCGCGTACAATTATCTTAGGGATTAAGCGTAAAATTGTCGAAGCACATCCGACTGCTGCTCTAAGGCTAAGGCGCCACGGAAAATCACCATGGTGTAGAATTCGGACTTGCACATAACTCAATTAGCCAGGCCCGTGCGTACAAGCAGGCGAAACACCATGACGCTTGCAAGCATACGTAGGGCTTTCTGCAGCGGACCAAGGTCGTTCTGACTTCATCGGAAGAGTCCACAACCAATTAGGAGGGCGCCGAGTCGGTCAAGAGTGCCTCGGCTGGTTAACGTGTAGGGCCTCTGATAAAATGGGAAAACCCAAGACCAGGCGGGGCGGTACCTGAGCGATCGAGGGTGCCGCAGTAGGCCAACAAAGAGGCCCCTGAGAGTGTAGGGTCCTCAGACCAAGCGAGAAGAACCCAAGACCAATGTGGTGGGCCACTGACCGATCGGGAGTGCCCTGGCAGATAAACATGTAGGGCTCTGGCCAGAGCACAGCGCCCTCCGAGCAACGGGAAAACTCAGGACCAGTGTACATGAAGCAATGCCCTGGAGCGATCGAGAGCTCCTTGGACGATGAGGGTCAACAGTGCAGCCACAGACAGCAGTGCAGAGTCCTTTGAACAAATATGAAGTGCCTTAGAATATTGTGGCGATCAAGAGTTCCCGGGCAGGTTAACAGAAAAGGTCCCGACAGGAGTGAAACTCTAGGCAACTGTATCTTCTCAGTTCGGCAGACAGCCGTTCTAGTCACGAAAGGAGTGCTCATCAATCCAAAGACTGTTCTATATGTATTATGGCATAGCCATGTCCATCCCGGGAAAGGTCTCCCACCAAACCACAAGCCCCTCCCCAACCATACAAGACGTCTACAGTGCCCCAAGCCCCTCCCCAACCATACAAGACGTCTACAGTGCCACAAGCCCCTCCCCAACCATACAAGACGTCTACAGTGCCACAAGCCCCTACCCAACCATACAAGACGTCTACAGTGCGGATCACGGGATCCTCTCGGGAATGTTGAAACATCGGCCTAGTTGAGCATGACCGCCGGAAAATGCACCACGGGCGTGGTGCGAATAATCTAAAACTGTTACTCTATGGGGAGATATGGGCTCCGCGCAAGCACGAGGTCAGCAGCAGGTCCGATCGGTCAAGTAGATGCGCAAAATCATCGCCATCTCCCAAACTGGGAGATGACTGGGCACAGGGGCGTACTTACGAAAATGGGTTGGGAGGAGGGATGGATAGGGAAAGTAACTTAACCAGGCCCGAAAAACACCAGGAAACGGGTTCCTCTTCGGATTTAGCCCTCTCTCTATTCTGGAAGTTTTGGAACTGGAACACAGGTTGGGGTGGGAGGGGGCCTGAGTGAGGGTTCGTACAATGATGCCTCAGAAGGGCCCTCAAATTAAATTCAAGCCCTTCAAAGATTGGACTGGATCGTATATTTTTTAACAATTCCGAGGATGTTCCCTGCACAGATTAACAATTACATCAACACGAAAAAGATTTGTTCTGCCTTCACTATTTCATTTTGGTCCGCCCGTGTGCCACCACCGCACCGGGGCGGGGCCGGCGCCGCGCGGCCCATGGTGACTGAAGCGCCGAGCATGAGGCTTTTGTTGCTAAGATTTGCGGGCGTGCATGTTCAAAATGTGCATCATAACATGTCTTTCTTATCGGTTCTGGCTGAATGTTAAACATTTCAAGAAAGATATGGGTTGGCCATGCAACTACAACTTGTCGACCCATTTTTGGGGAGGCTTTCACCATTGGAACCTTTTGGCAAACATTTATTCCTCCCCTCCACTGACTGTTAAAGCCTGGCTGAGCTCCCGCAGTTTGCGTAAATTAGAGCAATTATCTGTGATGAATCTTCACGTAGCCAACTGCCCAAAAACTTCGAAAAGAGAGAGGTCGGGGGAGGTTAAGTCACTTTTCGCTGTTCAGTCCGTACTTTAATTAATTTTTTTTCTTCAAAACTAAGCCTCTGTGTTCGATCATTTCCAGTTTGAGAGCCGGCAATGACTTTACAGATCCATTTTCCGGACTGTGACTGGGTATCTCCGTGCCTGCGCATAGTCCGTAACCCACCCGTAGTGTGGCAGGCAGTAGTTTCAAATTGCTTGCACCACGCCCGCGGTGTATTTCCAAGAGAACATGCTTAACTTAACAATGTCTCAATGTACACAGTCTTCTCGACCGTCACTGAAGTCTCTTGTCTCACCTTGGCAGTGATAATATAGGATCTCCGCACAACCGGAGAGTGTCCTTTTTATGGCAGAAGCTGGGATACTCAAGTCTGTTGTTTGTACAGCGGGCTGAGATGCCCATGTTCATACATGCACGTGCATGTACGACCGATCCGTCTGCTGCGCTGGCTAGGTGCTGCGCTCGGTGTTACCGGAAGCCCGCCAGCGTACCTTGGACCTCGAGCACTTCAGCCAGTTACAGCATTGGGCACGCTCCCATTCACGATATTCCTCTTGCCTCATTTCTTTTCCCCTCTCCTGCAGCATCGTGATTCCTGGTCATGCCTGTTCATTTGTATGCCTGGGATTTCTCGTGGTCGTAGAGGTCTTTCTTGACTAGACATGCCTTTCCTACCACAGCATTGCCACTAAATGTGTGCACAACTCGATAAACTGCCTTTGAGGGTCCATCCTGAAATTTCAGGGTAAGTAAAATGATATGCACACCCATCCTGCTTTACCGCGATGACACCGTCCTAACCATGACGGCAGCATGATGGCATGACATGGTGGTGGAACGGCAGTTTGATGGCATGGCAGTTGGAAAAGGATTCCTTGATTTTTTATATCGATGTCTGCATCCCAAAACCCCCATAAGGCAAACTATTTGAATGCTACAATTTTTAAGTTGCATCTCATATATTATAAAAGAGGCGAAAGTGTGCCAGCCCATCTGACGCCGTTCAGTGAAATGTGCCACAACAAATGAGTCATATTTGCCTTAACGTACACAGGACATTTTTCTTACATCCCACGCACAAATATGTATTTCACTGTCCTTTGCAATGTTCGTGTCAACGAACGGAAGTTGCAAAGCTAATAGCGACATTGCGTTCCCACCGTACCAAGCACGCATCGCTCACTAACGAGTAACAAACATCGTCCGTGTCTAGAACACACAGTTTAATACCATTGCTAAAGGTCACCCGCGTAAGCACACGCAGCTCCCGCGCGCTACCACCAAACACCTTCCTTCAAAGCCACACTCCTTCCCTATCAACTAGCCATCTCACGAACTAGCATCGAAAGCATCCAGCACTAACGCCGCGCGCTTCCCGTGTCAAAATATTGCTTTTGTGCTGGCATTAAGCACAGACATCCTGTAACAGCAAGGCAAATCTCTAGTTGCGCTACACATTGCGGTTCCGTACACTAAATGAACAGCTTCATGATATTTGCATCAGTACAAACGGCCGATAATACGCATCACAATACTTTATATACCACTAATGACTGGATTTAATTCAACGAAATACTAAATTCGAGTCTATACCAATGGCGCTTTTAAATGTCTTTCCTAGCCAATCGTAACTCTGTTTGTACAGACACACGACACATTAAAGCACAGTTGTGTGGCATGTACCTAGTTTATTAAAGGCGACTAATGTAGCTTGCCCATTCTCAGTTCAAACGAAGACTCTGGCATTCTGAGATTCAAATTCTTGGTGGAAAACCACTGTGATTGAAACCTCGCAAATACGCTACAGCTAGGCTTTGTACACAAGCCAGCCTGATTAGGACCGGTGTTTTTCACGTTGCACGACATACATGTGGGCCTTCTGGGATGTATGACGCATGTCCTGCGCTGTCCTTCATAATGGTCCTCGATACGATACAACATATATTGCTGCCACTAAATCACGGCATAAAAATACCACTTCAAACCAACTGCACCTTCACAAAGAGCCAGGCGGGACGGGTCGTGTCGCTTGAAACTGATCCCTTCGGCCTCCCTGAAAGCAGAGCTTATAAAAGAACAGAACAGAGGCTCGTTTGTTGCCCACAAGCTGGCGAGCCGACCGTGGTCGGCCGTTTCTCTGAAGTTCCTCCGTTTCGTTCCTTCGATACATTTGTCCGCAACCGCACTGCCACGGACACGTAAGGCCACAGGCCTCAGATTCATCTCAGTTCACCAGCTTCTCCTCAGCTGCATAACACACTGCAGGTCGGTGCACAGCGTCGCACGAGTTCTCACCGCGCTCGGCCTGGCCAGCAAATCACAGTTGCAGCTGGGCGGCAGCATCTGAGCGCGCCGCACGTCCAGCCCCTGTGATCCGGGTCGTGCATCACCCGTCCCCCCATCCCCTCTCCGCTGGCGGGCTGCTGTACAGCTGGGTTGCCTGGCTTCTGTCGACAGTCCGTATCAGCTCCCGCTCGGCGCTGACCCACTGCTGAGCCTCTGGACCAGCTCCCGCTGGGCGCTGTCTCACTGCTGAACCTCTCTTTCAGCTCCCACCCGTTGCCGACTCACTGCTGAGCATCTGGATCAGCTCCTGCCTGATGCTGACTCACTGCTGGGCCTCTGGATCAGCTCCTGCCCGGCGCTGTCTCCCTGTTGGACCTCTGGGACAGCTCCCACCCGTTGCCCACTCACTGCCGAGCCTCTGGACGAACTCGCGCTCGGCGCTAACTCACTGCTGAACCTCTGGATCAGCTCCCACCCGTTACCGACCCACTGCTGAGCCTCTGGATCAACTCCTGTCCGATGCTGACTCATCGCTGAACCTCTCGATCGGCTCCCACCCGTTACCGACCCACTGCTGAGCCTCTGGATCAGCTCCTGCCCGATGCTGACTCACTGCTGAACCTCTGGACCAGCTCCCGCTGGGCGCTGACTCACTGCTGAGCCTCTGGACCAGCTCCCGCTGGGCGCTGTCTCACTGCTAAACCTCTGGATCAGCTCCTGATCGACGCTGACTCACTGCCGAGCCTCTGGAACAGCTCCTCCCCGACACTGTCTCACTGCCGAGCCTCTGGATCAGCTCCTGTCGGTGCTGTCTCACTGCTGAGCCCCTGGATCAGCTCTCACCGTACGCCGCCGCCCTGTGGCACATCAGGGCCCTCCACCAGCTCCGGCGTCACGGACTGTCGTCGTCCTCAAGCCGGTTGGCGGTGCGCTGTTCGTGTGCGGCTGAAGCCAGCGTGTACATGGCCACGGCCAAACAGAGCACCAGCGCCACCTGCGCCACGTAGTGTTCGAATACGACGTCTGACGGTCGCGTGTGCAGCCGGTACGTGCTGCTGACTAGTAGGTACAGACAACCGGCTGCCTTCAGCCCGTCCCACACGGTCGCCAGCACGGCAACCGCCGGCCACGAGTTGCGCAGGCTGAGTAGCAGCAGCACGTGCAGCACCACGTCCAGGGCGGCGACGCCGACGGTAACGCCGCCTATAATCAGCTCGTCCAGGCAGGTGTCGCCGCAGTGGTGGCGGTAGAGGTGGACGCGGTAAGCGCCGCAGGCGAGAGCTGCCACTCCGCACACCTGTCGGCAGCGGCGGAGCGGGTCACGGTGTCAGCAGACTGGTCCGCACCTTCAAAGGGTGTCCTGATTAGTAAAATCGTAAGCGATAGTGGCGCTGTGTTCAGAAATAGGGGATTAAAATCACAGCTTGATGCCCTCTGAATCAGCAGTGCTTTACGAATCCCAGCATCCTGGTTCAGCCGCAATGTCAGGGTGGATTTCATTTATCCCCTGAATCGGTCATTATAATAAGTTCGACAAACATCGGAAACGGAAATTCTTCGTTAAAGCTTAGTGACGCGAAGCTGGCAAGATCTGCGAGGCTTGACGGCCACTGCGTGCACCACCCCACAAACTTTGAGACCGTACCTGATCGATGCCAAGGCCATTGTTTTGTCAATCTGGTGGTCTCAAAACATTCGAGCAAAATAAGACCCGTCTAGGGAATCCCCTGGCTCGCAAAAATCGCAACTGCCATGGCTGAATTACTTGATGGTCTCACTTGTATTCGAACCCAGCATGAGTTTCACTTCTAAATTTCACTTCTGAAATCATACAAAAATACCTGGGCCCCATCTCAAATGGCTGCGCCGTGACTGTCACAGCCCCCTACTCAACGACAGCGCTGCACCGATGTAACGTCACAACGCTCTGACCCTCAGGGTCGCCAGAGCGCTGCGCCGATGTAACGTCACAACGCTCTGACACGCAGGGTCACCAGAACGCTGCGCCGATGTAGCGTCACAACACTCTGACACGCAGGGACGCCAGTGCCCGTCAGGACTGTACACATCTAGGGCACGGGTTGTCCACTTACTACCGGGATTCGTTAAACGCATCGGCTGGTTGAGCCCTGACTACCTTGAGCACGGCACTCACACACTCGATGTGTTGAGATCACGCATGGTGCTGGCTATTGTCGCGATTGTAATTACCAGAAGACTGCCGCACTCCTGCTGGAGTTGTTCCACCACATCCATTCACTAGGCTGTTCTGTCCTCAGCACAGAAAATCCTGACCAAAATTGCCATCACTGGAACATGATGTTTTGGTACACAAGATCTTATACCGTTGTTCAGCAGGAGCGCTAAGTGAATATCACGGCACGAATCACTACTCATAAAAATTATTGCACGAGTTTCCTTTTAGGAGCTACTGCTTGCTATAGGAGCATCTATACCACAAAAACAAGCAGACCCTCTTCACCAGGCGAGAAGCAGAAGGTTCAAATTTTCCGCCATGAAGAACTGTATCATCAGAACCGCGCACTGACTACCTGTCGGGAGTTATTCTAGCCGTCAGCATTGCACCACCCCGGTCTCAGCCACTCCACTCACCAGCAGCACGGCACGACCGCGGTCTCAGACCACTCCACTCACCAGCAGCACGGCACGACCCCGTCTCAGACCACTCCACTCACCAGCAGCACGGCACGACCGCGGTCTCAGACCACTCCACTCACCAACAGCACAGCACGACCCCAGCATCAGATCACTCCACTCACCAACAGCACGGCACGACCCCGGTCTCAGACCACTCCACTCACCAGCAGCACGGCACGACCCCAGTATCAGATCACTCCACTCACCAGCAGCAGAGCACGACCTCGGTCTCAGACCACTCCACTCACCAGTAGCAAGGCGCCGACGCTTTGCCCGGCCCTCTTCCACGTGTAGGGCACCTGGAAGCACTCGACCGTGCGGAATCCTGTGTAGCCGGTGGATGTGATTGTGGTAGTGCGCTGCTCTGGCATGGCGACGCCGGGTCGCGCCCCTCAGCCGCGTCTCACCTGACTGGAGCGGGCCCCGCGCCAGTCCGGGCCGCCCCGCCAACCCGCAGAGCAGCCCACTCGCGGCGCATTACAACGGGGCCTGTGTCATAAAGCGGTGCGCCGCGATTGCTACGGATCACGCCGGCTTATCTCCTTAGTCTCGATGTGCGTTTTGCGTGAGGCTTTTTGGGTGGCAGGATTCCACAGTGGTGGGATCCCCAGTGGCCGCATATTTTTTATTCGTATCGTTTCATGACACGGGACAGGGCCCGTCCTTGCACCACAGCCTCGGGCCAGTTTCCAAAACAGGCTTCAATCCACTGGCAGCAGCAGTACCGGTTGCGAGGCATGCAGCCCGCCGCACTGCGCGACTTGGACAGCCGCGATTACGTCAGCGGCCCTGCCAGTTGTTATGAGAGCGGCCTTTGTTTGAGCGGGCCGCCAGTCCACACATCCCACGCCCAGACTGACTCGCTAGGCGAGATGGGCGGCGCTGCCCCGACCTGACAGCGGTCAGATGTGTGTGCTTACCTGGCGCAGCGCCGCGGGGTGCGGCTCCGACCAACACCGGCCCGCCGTCCGGCTCGTCACGACGCAGGCGTGATCAGGAAAGGTTCGCACGAGGCCCTCGCGGCTCGATGGCACGCCGATCACGCAAGGGGCCGTGACCTTGTGTCTTTTGTTCTGGACCGGGGCACGTCCGGCGGGGAGGGAAGGAGAGTTGTGCTCTCGGTCTCCTATGAGGCGATTTATGGGCGAGAATGCACGGGCTGGTGTGCCACCCTTTCCATATTTGGCATCTCGAGGCGACGCTCGACCCGCCCTGAGGTGTGAGCGGGTGGATACCTTTGGTGCCCTTTTGCGGTTGTCTGCGAATAAACACGTCTTCACTAAGGCCCGGACTCGGGCGTCTACGCGGCCTGTTGTTGACTGGAGCAACATTTGCAGTTTGCTACCAGTGACAGCCTGCCGTCGCGTGTCCTTAAATAACGCCAAGTCTGGCATGCGATGACCTTCGTCGCTTTTGCTCTGCAGGGGTAGGATACATCTACATCCTGTTCACAGACAAGGTGCACCACCAGATTTAGATGCTGATGGCGATTTCGGTTTGACTGATTTTATACAGATATCTTGCTGTTTATCCACGAATCAACGTGTCCAGTGCTGGTCTTGAAGAGAGCAAGGTAACAGATCACTGCCCTCCATTTCCAGCGAACACTGAATACCTTCATTTGAATTTAAGAATAATGCGAATAGAAATGTATCCAAAACATTTACTGACAAAGCTTGAAGCAGGTAACAGGACAACAGTAATTCAGATCTACCAGTGATTTCTTTGTCTTGCAACTGCGAAGGCTGCGCACCATCACCGCGGAGCTGTGAAAAACGACGCACCCGTGTCAGCTCCTGACGTCATCCGTGCCCACTCGCGGCACCCGTTTCCACTCTTCAGCTGCGGTTCGCCGTCTTGCGCGTGGCGTAGTAGCTGGCCGGCCGGACCATCATGCGCACGCTCTTCAGCGAGTGCCGGTAGCCTGTCCAGGCCGCCCAGAACACGCCGCTGTCCTGGCTGTCGGGCTGGGCGTCCAGGTAGCCGCCGTTGAGGTTGGCGTTGCCGCAGCGGCTGTACCACCAGCCGCCGTGCAGCAAGCTGGCGCAGTTGCCGTCCGCCAGCTGGTCGTTATCGCGGTCCTTGGTGGTGAAGGCCGCACCGCCGATGTCGAGGCTGTCACCGGCGTCGCCGCTATAGCCGAACACCCTGACGCGGTACTGGTCCTGCTCGGCGGCCACGACGAACCGCTCGTAGTGCGCGTACCGGTGTGTGCCGTCGTGGCCTTCAAGCTCCACCCGCAGCTCGAACTTGTCCGAGGTGGTGAGCAAATGGATATTCTCGTTCCCCAACCAGAACTCGTGCTCCAAGTCGCCGAAGCCCCACTTGTAGGCCTCCCAGCCGAGGAAGAAGTCGAGCTGTGGCTCGGCCGGCAGCCGCTGCTGTATCACCGTCCAGCCGCCGCCGTCCGTCTCGTGGTCGCAGTAGGCGAGCGCAGGCCGCAGCCCCCGTCCCAGCCTCAGCAGGAACAGGCCGCTTTGGTGCAGCCCCAGCTGCTGTACCTCCCAGCAGTTGCTGGAGATGGCCTTGCTCGCCGACAGCTCCAGTGGGGCGCTGACGTGCGCAGCGCCGTTGGCGTGATACTGCGCAGGCGCCCTCGCCTTCAGCGGCCAGTCCGATCGGGTGAGCAGCAGCTGCTGCAGCTGCCGCTGACCGTCCAGCAGCTGGCCGACGAGCCTATTCAGCGCGGCGGCCACGTCGCAGATGCCGGTGCCGGGGGGCGGACCCACCGACGGCGGTGACGTGGCGCCGCACTGGCCCTGGACGGCATGCAGGAGAGCAGCCTCGGCTCGGCGCAGCTGCTGCTGCAGAGCACGCTGGCCGCTCCGCACGCCGCCGCCCAGTTGCGCCAAGCCGCGCCAAAGGTCTGCCAGGTTGGGCCGGCCGGCGGGCAGGCGGCCCGATAGCAGTGACGTTACCTGCCGCTCGGTGGATTGAGTCATGTCCAGGAGCTGGTTCAGAATCTTGGACACGGCCACCTGGCCCTCGATCTGCCAGCACAACAAAACGACCTCAACGACGACCTCAGAGTCAGCTGTTGACAAAAAGACCAAAAGCGTTGTGATCATTTGAAGTAAGAATATTAACAGGGAAAACGGTGCCACTAGTAAAAAGGCGCATCGCAAAATTGATTGCAACATAGGCATTATCAACGGTTTGTAATGTTACTACACCTGTAAATTATCATGGTGCCCATTGTTTAGCTCCTCTTACTTGCGGGCTTTTCCCAGTTCGGTTTTTTACCATGACATGTGGGTTCATCAATCATTGTGTGCATTTCTGACTGCTTGACATGGATAATTTTTCGCTTTGGAGAGCATGGTGGCGAGCTTGGCGATTTACATGGGTACAACATGGGGAGCCCCACGACGCATACATTCCAACAGGTCCGCTAGCACATTTCTCCTGGTTTTTACCCTGTTTCTTGAAACCACTGATGCTATCCACATACGCCAGTTATGGTGACAAGCTAGCTCGTGGGACCACCTAGGGCCCGATTACCATCTCGCGCAGTGCGAACAAGGCAGCACTACGCTGTAAGGCATAATTTGCAAGTTCAGTAGTGAAGCTGTTATTGTATAGGCTTGGTTTCATAAAGTCAACCGATCATCTAAGGATGTGTAAGACGAGCACGATGCGGATCAAGCCGCTGTATTAGGGATCTCATTTAGATGTGATAAACAAGAACCATTATGTTCTTTCTAGCGAGTAAAAACTCAAATGAAATGCTAAATGAGCATATCCACCTCCGTGGCCCGGTGGAGATATGCTGGACACGTAACCCAGCGGCACTGGGTGCCAGTCCCAGAGCGGGCGCGTTGTTTGGCCCGCCTGAAATGGGAAGGTCAGATGGCAACTGACCAACAAGGGTTAACCCTGGTCCGGGCGGCCGTGTCGCAGCATTGTGCGAACGTAGAACCCTTCGCATTCCTGTCTGGCGCAAGACCGGAGGCAAAATTATCCGTTGGACTGGACGGTGCGACTTGGGTGGTGGGTTCAGGGCGCACGCAACAAGCTATGCTTAGCATGTACTATGAACCCAAGGTCACCCATACAAACCAGTCGGAACAAATTCAAAAAAAAGAAAAACATATCACGCGCTTTTTGGTTCTTCAGCCATAGGAACAGTGTTGTAGACTACATTCACCCCACATTTCTTCTTTTTATAAGCTACCCATATTGGTGGACATTACCTTGCTCATCTCTAATCCGTATTTCTTCACCGGGAATCGTGCCAACCGTTCTCGGAAAACGCGCGGGTTGGCTCAAAGAGGATCAAGACCTAAAGGCAACACCATTCTCTGGAAAAGCAAGGTCTAAGAGAAAACAAGGCCAACTTGTTGATGTGTTTTCGGAAACGGACACTTTTTCACGTGGCCTCTTAGACCCACCCCTGTGACGTCCTTCAATCAATGCTGTGCGAAATGTGATGCTAACTCAGCTTACTAACTTACACCATCAATGAATGCTGGCATGAAGATTTTGTTATCTGGAGGCGGTAAAATGAATTTTCGCCTTGTTTTTGATCATGTTGATGCGATTCATCGTTTTGTCTTGGTCTGAAGATATATCCATCGAGTGAAGCACAAGGTACGAGCTCACAACCATCGTGAGAGGATACCTCAGTGCAGCTTATGAGTTTTAAACCAAATTGGTTGGTTTTGCGCATTTGTGACAAATCAGTCAGCGCGAATGACATGTTTCCAAAATGACGAATCCGAACTGCAATATGAACCGGAAAAGCAAAATAAATTAGCCCGATTAGGTGACCTGTCATGATAGAATTCATCTAATCTGACTTTACCGCTTAACCTTTGTTAAAGTTATGATGAGATTTTGAATCACAAGCCGGCGCTCTTTTGTTTCCTGTCGCTTGCAGATATGTACGTGCAATGTTGCAGGCGTAAATATTCATGAAGTAGTCCGAAGATTTTCAGGACTTTTAGTGCTTTTGGTGCAAGCTGTGACGACATTCTTTGCGTAAACATGTTAACTGAATGATTCCTGGGTGAGGTCAATCAGCATTATCGATTGCTGTTTGAATGTCGCCAATCCGACCTTGCAATCCTGAGAAACTAGAGGGAGCTTATAACCCTCCAGAACATCGCGAAAGGAAGAAGTGCTCCCGACGGCGCCTGTTTAAGGCTCTTCAAGATAAAATAGAGGTGGCTGGATGCCACTGGTCTTCTGAAGGCTCTTCTTGAGGTGGCTGAATGCCACTGGTCTTCTGAAGGCTCTTCTTGAGGTGGCTGGATGCCACTGGTCTTCTGAAGGCTCTTCTTGAGGTGGCTGGATGCCACTGGTCTTCTGAAGGCTCTTCTTGAGGTGGCTGGATGCCACTGGTCTTCTGAAGGCTCTTCTTGACCGCCGGATTATAGTGATATTCTGGCTGCCCGATAATGGGATATTTTGCGTATGATCCCTAAGATTAAGCTTTCATCACATCCGATTGCATCGTAATAATCTCGTTTCCCTGTCGAACACCACAAACAACTGATAAAATAAGGCCTTTATTGTCAAAAGCGGTAAATGTTGGGTTTGCACAACATACGGCGTCATAAATATAAAAGGTTTGTGCATAACTTCTCCGATAGGGCTACCAGGTCTTGCTTGCTGGCATCGACCCTGAAAAGTGGTAATCTTCCGTGATCCGAAAGAAGACAGTGTAATTTGTGCTTAAAGGATCTTGCCAGTGTTCAAATAACACTGGCAAAATCATTCCTCTGCCCCATTATGAGATCTGATGACTGAAGCCTTTAATAAGCACGTAACGAAGTAACTTTCATTGCTCGAACCTTTAGGTTTCATAGTCGCATGTTCAAAGGTGCCGCGTTCGCGCACTAGGTCACTAACAACTGCTTGGAAATCAGCCGGCTGTAAGCTACGACAGGTTAGCTTTTTGGATTGACGAAATCCATAGATTAAAGCAATATACGGTGTCAGAAATCGCGGCCAAAGTATTGGGACCTACGTAGATATTTTGCGAAGATTTTGGCCGCCGTGAGCAGGACCCCAGTGCCGCGCAGTTGTTATGGCCCGGTTTGTCGCGACTTATGACGCAGCACCTTCCCCTCGAAATCAGTTTTAAAAAAGGCCGTTACATACTTCCCGGTCGATTACTGCCACACGTATGGATCACCTGTGCTGATAGCCGTCAGTGAGTTGAAGCCGGTACATTCGCAAACATTGCACAGCTGGTTTCGCGTCTCCGTCCGCGTCTGCTCTCGTTAGTGATATTCAACATCAGTCCTCAAATCGCCTCATTACGGGCGAGGCCGTAATGGGCGTGTTTTACCATGGACGTGTTAAAACAGAGCGTTGTCTTTTCAGAAGGATGCATTGGTAGATTACTGCTTTCAACTGAAACCTGATGCTACTGCAATTGCTTTACGCATCACCAAATACTTCGGAAGTTACTACATACCGTGCCACAGAAGACTTGAATGCTCAGGCCTCGATGCAGACCACTTCGAGCAGCCTGTTTATTGTTAGCAAAATTTCTGTAAAATCCCGGTTAATTGAAGCGTTGCAAGAACAGTTGCGTTAATCGGCAAAAACGTCTTTAGATAAGTACAGCTTAAAAAAGGGAAATGTGTGATCAGCAGGCGCCTAGCACGTGCCCCAAGCGTGCGTGTTTCTTGCCACCTTTACGCACCCCACGCCCATCATTGATGTGAAGTATGCAATGATTTTACCATTAGTGGTGCAATGCCTTGATTAACGTCAGAATTGTATCCTGTTCCAATCCATTTTGAAAACCCTGCGCTTCCACTGATTAAAAACGCTTACATAGCTATGTGTCTTGAGGTGGGCCCAAGTGCGCATTGGGCTCGCCATGGTGTCCCAATGTCATGCTGCCCAAATGCGCGGGAGATTTGATTGGCTTACTCAGCCAACGCGAGTATTAAAATCTATGGACTTGTTTAGGCATGTGATGTGATATTCCAAGGCAATATTACTTCATTAATCACTCGACCATATTAATTCTAAGCAGATATCACTCAAACAAGTACGATCAACCGCAAGAACAGTTACCGTTGGTTCACATACGAAAGGTAAAACATAACTTAGCTGCATGAATAGTGAATTATCAGTTTACCAAGTCGGCAATAGTTGGTGCCGGGCTGGTTTCGCGGCTGTTGACTCCGCTGCGGGCCGCTGCAGAGTCGAACGCGCGCGAGCTCGGCGTGGTGCCACACACGCTGGTGTCGGGCGCAGCCAGCAGTAGACAGAGCACCGTCGAGCAGATGCCACTGAAGGGCATATCCGGCCAGGGGCCCATCACAGTGTGTCGGCAACCACTGCGTGCTACCACCTGACGATGCAGCTGTCACCGCTGCAGGACACCGACTGGTGCAGGCCGGTCTTGCCTGGCGCAGTTGGGACCGGCCCCAAGAGCCAAGCCTGCGCAACTATCATGAATAGCCGGGCAGCGCAGTCGTTACTGTACAGTGATAATGCTGCGTTTTTGCCGGCGTGATGGAGATACGAATCAAAGAGTAGCGTTCTCTGAACCGCTGCTTAACGTGAGGTGTCAGAGAGGACTGCATAAAAGTGGGCGCGGTCTGCAGGTGGTATACGATTTAAATGTGCTTGGAGTGAGTTTTGTTTGGGAATAGAGCTGCCTCGAACTTCTTCGGTTGTGCACCCATAAGGGGCAAAAGAGTAGCAAGAACAGATTTTGTAATATAGTACACTTAGTGGACCTAAACGACAAGTGCAAAAACATGAACTTTACATCGGGTCAAATGTTATGCGATAACAAAAACAGCGGTCATGTTGATTGTGGACGCAAGAATATTCAGTTAGGGGTTTGGGGATTTCGACACAAGCCAGCACTTCTCAACTACGCCACAGCTGCAGCTAGAAATGCGTCACAGCCATAATAATTCTAAAAAAATGGGTAAGAAATTGACAAAGGTAAGCGATGTTTAATTTAGATGTTGCTCCCCAGCACACCACGTGTAGTGGCAAGTCGAATGGGTTTTTTTTCGTGCATGGGCCATGACCATGGAATATTTTGGTCTTTTAAGTGATGAAGAGCTCAGAAGAGCAAGCGCTGGAGGAGGCCAAAGGAGACCTTAAAACCGGTCCCGAGACGGGCCGCCACGTTGGGCCGTTTGCTGGCGGTTGATGCACCCGCCCAGCTGTAGAGGTTTTCACGGATCAGATGTACAACGCCCAATCCACAAGCTACCCGCGGGGCTGTGCGTACAACCTCAGACCACCCATTCTAAACAAGCTGTACCAACGTTAAGCCACCCGTCTGCATCTTTCCAGCGCTATATATATATATATATATATATATATATATATATATATATATATGTATAATTCATTGAAGAATTTAAGGAAGCTTGCGGCAAGACTTACTCATGTGGGTTGATTATTGCAAAACTTGCGCGAAAAAGCTAATTATTACTGGGAGAAGCACAGTCACATTGCGTACACTATTCTGAAGTATCAATCCGATATTTTACAAACGTTTTGCCCATGCCCACATCCGCCCATAATATTCTAGGAGCCTATATCTTACTAACCCGTTGCCATTTCTTATGGGTACCCATGGTGTTATCCAACCGTTGAGTTCCGCCGTCTGCTACGTTTCTATGTTCGAGTTTTGGGTAGTGTAGGTCAGGACCATCGGCCTGCGACCTCGATAATATACAGCTAAGTAAGAAACTGACCACATCAATGCTGCAGACCTTACGTTTCGGTCCAATCCACCTAATTGGATATGGATCTGACCTGAACTATATCAACGGTACAGATACGCTTGACCTTATCAAAGTAACGCCGCACAATTAACCGATAGGATATGTATATTTGTTTCAGAAACAGTTCAACGTTTACACACGTTCCTCTAGCGGTTGGCTTATGTGGAGCCGTTTATGTCATGAGGTAATTCAAGACCCTGTATGTTGACCAGTACCTCCTGGCTAAGTGTGTGCACTGGCAGTTGATAACCCTACAGCAGTGCTTTAGAATGCACACAATCGCACTCTTAGTGCACAATGATGGACATTTTCCCTCGGCCGCCGCATACTAGACACCACGCTATACTATACGGAGCCCCGTTACTTTGCAAATCTCCGCTATGGCCAGCCCGTCAACGTTGAGCACTGCATTGTAAGCAGTTGAACCGAGCAAAACGGATGCCTTCATCGGACAAGACGGCTGCACTGGCAGATGATAGTCCTAT